TATAAGCCTTTTTACGAGTTTCAAAGTGCGCGCGACCTCCTAGTGTCTCGTTGCTCGATATAAACAAAAACACTCGTGAGAGTCGTAGACGTTTATTGGCGAATCGTGGTACTAGATAGTACCGAAACGTGCCTAGGTGACACTAAACAATGCAAACAATAAATGCAGTAGCAAAGCAAAAGCGTGTCACACGTGTTGCGTGGGTTTGAACAGAACCCAGCTTATATATACGCCTGAGCGAAAAACCGTGCTGGTGTAGCGTGGGTTTGAACAGGACCCAGCTTATATATACGCCTGAGCGGAAAACCGTCCTTGGTAAAACAAACAGAAGTAAAACAAAGAAAATATCACAGTTCGAGTCAGAGTTGATTGTGGAGATAAAACAAGCAGAAGTAAAACAAAGAAGTATCACAGTTGGAGTCAGAGTTGATTGTGAAGTAAATATGAACGGAATACGTCCTCGTGGATTGCTCCTTTTCTTCGTACAATCATGGTCACTACAATAGCCCCGCTAGAAAGCAAGCAGGAGCTTTCGATTCAGAAGCGAGTTTGAAAAGCAGACAATCGGTAGCGAGTGGCCAAGCTGCAAGAAAAGTACTGGCAGAATCGTAGGTATGTGTGGATTGTTTTGCGTCAGTCGAACATCAACCAGATTTGTTGCATCGGATGTAAGCACGGGAACAACAATGACAAATTCTTAACCGTTGATTAAATATTTTACACCATCCGAATCGCTAGTTGCATCATGGTGTCAGGTGGCTCTCGTCGTTTCCAGCTTCCATGATCCTTGGCGTGCAACAATGAAGAAAGTAGGCCGCTAGAAGTTCATGTATGCAACCGTAGAAACGTAAGTCGTCTTCAACAAACTCTTGAGATCCAGAGGAGCAAAGATCGTGTTAGGGGATGGCGAAATTCTCGTGCTATCCGCCGTTCTACAAAATGTCGAGCCACTGCTTCGACCGTGACAATAGAGATGGGAATAGTCTCAGACTACGTAGTGAACCTGACAATACACGTGAGTAAATGAGTATAATCGTGTGACGGTGGTAATGGGCCTACAATATCGATGTTAACGTGATCAAAGCGAGCGTCAA